TCATTCCATACCTCTAAGATATGAACAACCTTGTTCAAAAGTGGATACTCACGCACATGATATCAAATAAACCATTGCTTCACCTCTCCTTCGGAAAGGTTCACATTGTTCATGTATTATAAATTATTTGAGAGCTTGATCTCACCTTTTGACACCGTCTTAAACCCACCGCTGTGCTTCCCCTTGCAACACGAAATGAACAACTAACTTACCACGTTTTCAAAACAAAATTGCTCACGTTTACTTAGTGCTCTGTTGTTAACATGGTAAGGATTGATAACTGCTTTTTGACTTTCTTAGAGTAAATGAACTAATATCGTGACAGACAGAGAAACACACACACACACGCAAACACATACAGACAAACTTAGCGCTTTATTATAATCAAATAAATGTTTATTGTTTAGGAAATGGATAAGGTCGCTCTTTTGTCCAAATGATTTTCTCCTAGAAATTCATTTCTTGACACCATGATGTGAGAATTTTCTGATATGCGTCAATTGTCGTAACTAGTTTTTTTTTCCACAAAAGTCTACCTGTTCTTACAGCTTGTCAATAAATTGTTGATTTTCTTTGTATTATAATTGCAAAATTATTCAAGTGTCAATCTAGGATTTTACCCGAGCATTGAAATTAGTTTATCAATATGCAATCTTTTCAAATTAGTTCTTTCATTTTTGAAGTCAAGTTATCGATGTGAAGAAATTATTGAAATTGCAAACGCAATGTTGAGACGGAATTCGCCGAGTGGACGAAGTGATCAAAAGGGACGGACTAACCTAGACATCTGGAGCAATATTCTTGCTTATTACGACGAATCATTCGTCTAAATTTAGGGACAACCTTAGTGAGGACGAGAACCATCATAATCAGATCAAAACTCGAATCATTAGCATTGCTTAGACACTGCTTTCAAGCTCATTACTGACTTTACATCTAGTAGTCAACTTGTGCAAAATATGAGCGCTCAACTTCGTCGCTAAAAGCTAATTTAATATTTAAATGACCTAAATACAATAGGTCAAAAACTTCAGGGATTTTACATCCATTTCACAACTTCTCGTAGTGCCACTTTCCACCTTTGGTACCAGTTCATTGTCTAGTTACTTAGAAAATGAGATTCGGGTATTGCTACGCGTTCAACTTACCTGAATAGGAAACGCACTTCCTTTAAGCACCTTCCAAAGCGCAAGCTTTCAGATGAGATTGAGGTTGTTTGATGAATACTAGCAGAGTTTGGAAATCGAATGTTATGAAAGTTTCTCATTCGTAGTGATTTGATTCTTTGAACACTTCCACCCAGTACAATTCCATTTTTGCTTCCTTTATAAAAACAAATTCCAGTTTACCCTTCGGAAATGTGATGTTGAGCTCTGGCGTAGATGACAAATTCAGCAAATTTTTTTTTCTACTTTTATGTATGTGAGCGAGCAGTATCAAAATTCCTTGCATGGATCGTCTCAGGAGCGAACTCAGTAACGTATAACATCGCTTGTTTCTAATAAAATTGTCGATTGTTCTATTTACTTTTTAGTGCATTTTAATAGTCGGCAAGGCTGATCATCAGGCAAACATTATTGGACGCAACAAGACATAACGAGAGGAAGTGCCTCAATTCGCAAATTACTGTTGTAGTTTGCATATGTCATGTCGATAAAATTTCGCCATGTTGAAAACTGAAATTCAGTGTCAAAACATCTAGTCATCCTTCAAATTGTAGATGAACAAACAACAAGCTATAGCAACTTCTTTCCCTTTGTTTCGAACTCGTAGTTTATCACTTCAACAAAAGAAAAACCAAATTGTGGCTTTGACCCTTTTTAGTGTAGCTGTAATACTTAGGAGGAGGAGGAAGAAGTAATAACCGAGCTTCAGTTTAGCTAGACTGCTGCTCCATCCCCCCATCATGACTGACATCCTAAAAAGGTCAACATTTACGATGTAATAAGTGTATAAAAGGCTTCGTTGAGAATGTCAAGCATGATATTAATTGTTTTCCTTGAGTTTCGCAATTTTTACAAGGCTAATTCTTTCAAAATCTCTTCTTATTTGTTCTACTCGTTATTCCTGCATTAAACCTGGACAGCTTCAGTTTAGATTTTAGTTTAGAAGAAACAGTAGGAAATGTACTGGCAAAATTAAGAAGGTGAGACACAGCGAATAACAAAGAAATGTTACCCAAGATGTTGAGCAGTTTTCTAAAGAGTGAGATATAGAGAGAAATAGGTTTGAAAGGAGCTAGG